AGTTACATGTACATAATAGAATAAAATATTGAATATAGATATATGCTCTATAAACAGTTTGTAAACATGTATCTCCTAGGTACATTTTTAGGGGTCTTTAATTGCCTTTTTTCACCTAGTTTTGTTTCAATATGTGGAAACAATATAATTTAATTTTGTAATTAAGTTTGACATAAATTTGTAAATGTGACTTGTAGGGTTTCAAAATAGATAAATATTGATTTCAAAGAGGTTATGGCATGAATGTAAATTCCTTTTAAAGAAACCATCTTGTTTCATATCTACAGTATCAAGTGCCTCAGATGAATCAACCACAAGTGATTTTGCCAGTCCAACAAGAATGCCATCAGAAAGTTGTGATGACAGTCAAACTGTTGGGCTCTCTGATTTGCCACCAAATGTTTTTGGAGCTTCGGGGACAGCTGGAATTTCTCGTCAGCAGCTTCTGAGTGGGCCATGCCCTATTTGTGGTGACCGTATCTCTGGTTTTCATTATGGAATTTTCTCCTGTGAGAGTTGTAAAGGTTTCTTTAAGAGAACTGTGCAAAATAAGAAGAATTATGTTTGTCTACGAGGGGCCAACTGCCAAATAATTATTAGCACTCGAAAGAAGTGTCCAGCCTGTAGATTTGATAAATGTTTAAGAAGAGGGATGAAACTAGAAGGTAGGGTTTTTCTGTGCAATAATGTTCTTTTAAGTAATTTTTAATGGGTAACATATCATCAGCAATTATCAAAGTACAGTAGTAAAATAACACTGATTTTAAATGTTTCCCAATTCTACATATTCTTCTTGTGTACCAAAGACACAGTTCTTTGGAGTCTGAAGTGTTTGGATCAGTATTATTTTAATGATATATTTTATTGACTGCTGTTTTAATAAATGATATGCAATTATAGTTATACACAGTACTAATATGTCTTAATTGTGTCAGAGTTTAGTACATAGCCAGTATACATTTTCAGTTTAACTGTCAAAGCTACAGAAAGGAAACTAATTTACTTATAAAATGTAAAGTGTAACTTTTGTACTAAAATATTTCTCGTTGGTCCAAGAACAACTTTTAACTACTAAATCTAATTGTTCCTTTTGGCACTGATGAAAACAAATTTACACTTTCTAGTAAGTTCAAAAGATCACTGTACAATTTTCATAGGATGTTCCTGGTCTTGCAAAGATTACCTGATGCTTTTGTACCATGCTATTTGAAAATCTAAAAGCAAGTAAATTTTTTACATTTTTGACTGAAGTAATGCTAAATGTTATTTTTATATTAGCTTTCAGGGAAAAGTACTAAAGTTTCTGATAAATATGTAAAGGTTATTAATCTATTTTTGTTTCAATGATTTGTAGTTTTTTGTAGCTAATAATCCATGGAATAATAAAGTATTTGAACATACCTGTCAACCAATTTTCATGTCTACCTGTAGTTATTACCATGAAAATCCATAATTTTCTTAAATACCCATCAGATTGTGTGAGAACTCATTTTCTGATGTATAATTGCTAACATATGAGGACCTTCAGTGTTACTAATAGTAAAGTGTAAAACAAAAAATAAAATATAGTAATAATGTATTTGGTCGGAACTTGGCAATCACTCTGCAAAATTTGTTTTTCCACAAACATTTACTTTTCCAAGACTTTTGCCTTCTGCAGGGAATCACTATTTTGGAAGAAGGAAATTATAATGTTGATACAATTGATGTATGTTAGTGCAAGGAATTGAAAAGAACCACAAATTACAATAATGATACAGCTGTACTTTATTTAAAAAAAAAGAAAAGGCATGGCATTGAATCCATAGTAAATAGTAATTCATCAGTAGGCTTTCTAAACTAATATTAAAAAAATGTACTCACTACAGCCAACCTGTAGTACTTGTCAGGTATGGATTTATTCTTACTGTGGTAATTGTAATAATGTTCTAAAGTCCATCAAAAATGTGTTCAGTAAACATTCAAACACAATAATACTATTACTTTCACAAACAGTTTATGTAGTAGGCTTGCTGTATGAAATATTTTCTGTAAATTGGTTTGTGGTAGTCACATAAATAATCCAATAATGTTATAAAAGCTTTTATATCAAAAATATAGTCACTGTTTTATTTAAGCTGAAAATGGAGATGCGATTAAATCTTCAGCATTCAGTTTTTGGAATTTAAAAATAAATACCATTTTATCTCTTAAGCAGCTACCACTAATTATTCAAATAACTATAAACATTCCACTGTCATATGGAGTTACTGTATGAAAGATATACTTAGTTTTTTGTTATAAGTGTTTTGAATTATTTCTTTTGAGCTTGAGTAGAATGTTGAACACATTCAATTTGTTTTAGCAATTCGAGAGGACAGAACTCGAGGCGGCCGCAGCACGTATCAGTGTTCTTATGCTTTAGCCAGTCAAGCAAGTTGTGATTCAAGGGTGACAAATTGTATTTCTTTATCTCCTACCAAGGAGAAGCATCATGTAAGCTCAGGTCTGTCCTTACCAGGCTGTAGCAGAGGTTAGTAGTATATTATAATATATAACATAATGAAAATTAGCATCTGTTCTTGTATTTTAGTAATGTGGCACATTAAAGATAATGTGTGAAAAAAATTATTCAAATTAGTTTTGTAGTAGTGCAATAGATTAGGTAAGTTAGTGAAAACTACACATTTTGTACAGTAGTAAATTAAATTGATAAATCGGTGAAAACAACTGTTTGTTTTATATTGTGGTACTATAGCATATTACATTAATTATTTGAAAATGCCTGTAGTTTGTATTGTATTGGAGTAGAGATAAAAGAAATGAGTGCAAACAGATGTATGGAAGGCCAACATGATTCTTATATAATATTGTATTTTTTGTTTAAGAACAAAATTGTATACTTACACCATAAAATAGTATTAAATATTGGTACATACTGTATACCAATTTTGGTAATGAAAGGGTTAATAAGTGCTTGAAAACTATCATTGTTTTGTGTATTCCTGTAGTGTGAAAGATTAAACAAGTCATTAAAAACTCCTATTGGTGTTTGATGGCATTATTATATCAGATTAAGTAAGTCAGTAAAACTAACATTTTGTTTATTGATCCTGGCTTAATTAGTAGCCTACTATTACTGGATTTATCCTCTCTCTCTCTCTCATTTTTTCTATAAATAAAATTTAAAGTTTCTATTTAACTTTTAAACACTTTTTTGTACAACAGAGAAGATATCTGTAAATGTCCCATACGATAATTATAAGGATTATAAAAAAATAAATCATAAATGTAATTTTTTTGTTTGCTGATTGTAACAGTAATTATACTGAAGATGTATGTATTTGGATTTATTGAAAGTTATTCATAATATTTTTTGATAATTGCAAACTGTCACAAATTTGTCTAAACAAACTTGTTCCATAAATAGCACAAAAGCATAATTGTGATTCAGCAGTGGATTTTAAGGGATAATTGCAAATGGAATTACTTTGGTTGCATTCAGAACTTTCATCTTCTTGGCAAAAATTAATCTGTTTATTTTGATCTATGGTTTGAAATATAGTTGTAACAATGTATCATCATTTTGTTTAGTATTATTGCCACATAAAGAGGAGGAAATTTTATGCAGAAAAATGTGAATCGGTATATTTACCTATTAACCTATTTGAACCATCATTTTATTTGCAGCTTTACTAAAATGAATGTAAGCCACCTTAAAAATCTGTATCCAATTAAGTATTTTATCAAAAGGATATTAAATTAATGATCAAGTTTTATACAGTTGTGTAAATAACTTCAAGCTTCATTCAGTTAATGAATAGAAATTTTATCTAACTGCTCTCTCTAATTCATATTGGTTTTAGAGATAGAGAACAACTCAAGTTCATGGTTTTTAGTTGCAGATTGTTTTTGGTGGTAAAATCTTAATAGTTAAAAAAAAGTCTTTGTGAATTTTTGTAACCTTTATATGGATTTTTTTATCTTTTAGACATAAAAACTAATGTGGTATGGAATACATGAACTAAGAGCTTTACTTACTCACTTTAAAAGTGACTGTGTGACCATTAAGTCTATTTAGCAATAAATATTATTTAAAATGCTTGCTATAAAGGTAACTTATAAACAGTAGATGTCAATTACAAAAACATAAAAAATCACATTGATTGTACCATGTTTAAAATTTCCTTGACACTTTGCCAACGTCTATTATATATTGTATCATGAAAAAGAGAACATGCAGCAAGTGATGCTCTTTAACTTCCCTGTTTTAGATGATAATTTAAACAGAATATTATTGTTATGGTCTATATTGTAATATGAATATTTCAAGTAATGTGCTGATAGTTATATGTTTATAATGTTGTAATTGTTAAAAAAAAAACAATAATACTTTTTTGTAGCTCATATCTTAGACCATTCTCACTATGTGAAAATATGTAGATAGAATAAATATGTATATTTGATTTTTCAGAATCTCAAGGTATACAGGTGTCTTCAACACAAGGGTCACAAGAAGTTCCTTTACTTATTCAAGAAATTCTTTCAGTTGAACATCTTTGGCAGTATTCAGACAAAGATGTAAATAAAACTGAGGAAAAAACCAGTGACAGTAATTCAGACTTTTTCAGTAACCTCTGTAACATTGCTGACAACCGCCTCTATAAGATAGTCAAGTGGTGTAAAAGTTTACCCTTATTTAAAGAGATTCAGGTAAGTCAGTCCTTATGTGTCTGAATTTCAGAATCAAAGTAAAAGTTTATCACTGTTTTAACTTATTTGGTTAATTCTTGTGTGAATTTGAATTTTACATGTATGCTGTAAAACTTTTACTTGCACTCAGAGGAGGCAGGTAACTGATAATGTCATGGGTGAACATTTAACTGTCTTTGTTAAAAGGTTTTAATTTACTATAATAGGGAAGTGAAATCTATTATCACAATGATGTATGATTAAGAGATATTAGTATTGAAATAATATAATTTCCTTTAAGTTCACTTGAGCTTAACTAACTCAAAACCTGGTAGCTCATTAGGAGAGGAGGGTGATTACTATTTATATCTGATACAGTTTTATCTGCCCTCACACAAAGCTATCTCTATTTTCTTCTGCCCTCTAAGCATTGCTAAAAACATTTTGTGATCAGTGCACCAGTCTATATACCCCCAACAATTTTGTGCCATTTCTGAACATTTACATAACATTTTCCACCAATAGTATTGTGCCACCTATATTGGTGCAGCTAGCTCTGTCTGCCATTCCCGCTCAATCTTCACTTTCTTGATTGGCACGGCATTGTTTTATGTGTTATTTTGCATGTGGTTACTGTTTATGAATGTGCTTCTTTTCCAATTAAGTTTTTTAAACACTTTTATTTCACTGTGTTTGCATTTACTTGTTTCAACATTTTTTGTTCTTTGCATTTATTTCTTGTTACCAAATTACAAGAGATCTTAGTATGAATTTGCAATCAATGTATTGACTACAGAAATTCTTATTATAGTTGAAAATGCTATTAGTATGACTTTCCAGGAATCAGGTTCATCTTTATCCGTAGAAGAGGTACAGGCCTTAATTTGGATGGCTCTAGATTCATACGTTCAGCCAGCAATTTCTTCTTCTTTTCAACATAACAATGTTATTGAGGAAGAATACAATCAATGAGCAGACAGTTTGGACCCTTTTTTTTTTCTGGCACTTTCTTATTAAATCTGTCACACTACACCTCTTCAGGAGTTTTCACCTTCTACCAGTTGCTGTGTCGCTACGTCATTCACCTTGTGTGAAGAATTGTTCTTCTCTTTCTTTCTTCCTATTGCTTTCAGTTCTCCCAAGGGATCTGTCATAAGTTTTCCACATGTACACTTCACACTTGGTTGATATACCTGTGGTAGGTGTGGCTTTGCCCTTATTTACACACAGCATAATTATTTCCTGTGATCAGTGCTCGGACTGTGGTAAGTTACAGATTTATGTGTCCCTTGTAATCTAAGGTACTTTAGATGAATTGTAAGCTAGATATTGATTATTACTTTTTTTTTTTGGTAAATTTAATTGTTTTGCACGGTCGTTAATATTATGTACTTTGTAGACTATGCAAAAATTGTGGGTTTGTTTATTTGTTATTAGTAAGTTACATATCATTATTACTAGTAACATCTAATTCGTTGTTCTACTTGAGTAAAATTTTTTTCATTATTGTTAACTATATGCCTTATCATCAGAATTTTTGTCAGTGTAGTACTTAATTATGTATCATTTGTCATCTAGGTTAATTTAGAGGAATTGTAAATAAGATATTGATTATTAATGTGTTTTCTGGGTAATTTTCATTGGTTTGCATGTTCGTTATTACATACTGTGGGGACTAGATAAATTTAGATGGTTTATCCATTTGATATTTATAAGTATTTTGTTAACTAGGTGTGTTTAGATAATTTGTACATTACATATCAATACTACTAGTAACAAATAATTTATTTATTTTGTCTCATCATTGTTAGCTATGTACCTTATCCTAAATTTTGTCAGTGTAGGACTTAGATATGTGCCCTATGTCATCTAGGTTAATTTAGATGAATGGTAAATTTGATATTGATTATTAATGGATTTTATAGATACTTCTACTAGTCGGCTTGCACAATCGTTATTGCTCTAAGACAAGTTTTACAGTTCAGGATCCTACCGTTCGGACTAACCTCAGCTCTAAGTGTTTTGTCAGGGGATACAAACTTTTGCCCAACATCTTCACTCTATGAGTCTTTGCACTGGGATTCTGTAGATTACTGGCTCCTATTTGCTTCTTCCAGTTCACAGTCCAGAGACTACACTCCTCTGCTCCTACCGGAAGCAACATAGATATGATTCCTGATGGCAGTGGGGAAGTCCGTTCTTACCCCCTCTTATTACCCCATTCATTTGGGGTGTTTTCTTCTTTCCAACCTCAGTCAGGCCCAGCCTTTCTCCTCTTTGTCTTTGGAGCAAGCAGTTCACACATCTCTCCCCTCACATTTCTCACAGCTAGAGATGTTATATCTCTTTGGGGAAGGGGATTTCCTTGGAAGCTCTTATTCCCATGGGTTGCGTTCCATTCGGTAGACACTCCTAGATCAGTGGAAACGTCTCCTTTGATCCCTGGCTTGAATGGAGACAAAATCCAGACAATGGCAGGGGTGCTGCTTACTTCATCTCATCCAGGTTTACATCTATTCACAGTCATTTTTAGAGAGTTGAGGTTCTTACCTCAACTCCTTGGAGATTTCCAGTCTCAGGTCGATCAAGGAGTCTTCTCTCCATACCTTCCTTTAGCCTATGACAGTTCATTGAGCTTTGTCTCGCTTCCTTCCTCTCCTATGAGGGGATGGGGTGGTGATGATTATGATACATTCTGACATCTCCACAGTGGTCACTTATATCACAGAGCTAGGGAGTACCAATTCCAGGTCTCTATCTTTCAGATCCTGGATCTCCTTTCTGTGCCCACAGTCACCACATTGTTGTCCTAGCTTGCCATTTTCCTGGCTCCCTGAATCTGGTGGTGGATAGATTATCTTCTTCCAACAAGATTCTCCTCATGGAGTAGTTTCTTGATCCACAGGTCTTTAGGTGGGTGTGTTCTCAGCTAGGGACACCTCATATATGCCTTCATCATCCACTGGAACACCAAACATCCTTTGCTTTGGTCTTACATTCCTCATCCGCTAACTCTGGAGGATCACTTTCTGTCATGATTGGAAGGGTCTTCACATCTATACTTACCTCCTATTCGACTCCTTTCGAGAATTCTATCCTTATTCCAAATCCGACTTCTACTCCGTGTTTCATCCAACTTGGCTGGCACAACCATAATTTCCACTGCTTCGACCTTTACTTGTACAACCTCCCCTCCCATTACCTTTGTCTCACCCACTATTCTGTTGACCTCAGTTAGACATTGTTCATCTAGGTGTCACCACACACTATCTTCACGTGTGACTTTTCTCAGGTCCATTGACTCAGCCCAGGAACTGACTGTTGCATCTTTCCTTTCTCGATCCATTAGATCTTTTTCCATGTCTATGGTGTACCTTCTGCCTTTGGTCTCTGTTATGTGGTTTCCATCCTTCTCACCCTTCCATTCCTTATTTTTCCCTATTTTTTCACCTGGTTGTTTGACAAAGGCTTGTCCACTTAGACCGTGACTAGCTATCAGGCAGCCTTGTCAAACACCTTCTGTTTCTCCAGATTTCATCTGGTTTTGTCTTCCCCTGTCATTTCTTTCCTTTTTCCACTCCTTTTGAGTTAGACATCATCCACTTTCATTTGATTTTCCTGATTGGGATCTCAGTGTGATCCTTTATTCCTTTCCCATTCTCCCTTTGAACCTTTGTCTTCATGTTCCATCCACCAACTCTCCCTCATGACCTATTTCTTTCTCCTTGCTTGCAGACATTGTTGATCAGATTTTTCTGCCTTTAATGTTCCCCATTTCCTCTACCATTCCTCTTATGTCATAATATATCTTTTCCCCCTCAGACCTATGCTACCTGTGAAGGTTGCTTGGATCCTCCTCACAATACTGGGTTCAGGGTGACACTGTCCTGTTCCTATGGTTGTGTGCAATAGAGGCCCCTCTTCTCGTTAATTCTACTTGCAGGAGGTTCTTTCTCTGCTCCTGTGGTTGAGTTTGGAGAACTTCATGTGCATCATAATGCCTGCTACAGGATATACATACACTGTTCCTATGGTTGAGCAAATGTTCCATGTCCTCCTCATAATTCCGTATGCAGGATATCTCTTCCTTGCATTTACAATTGAATGATTTATGATTTCTGCTCATAATACTGTTTACAGATATTGCCCTGTTCTTATGGTTGAGTTTGTTGTATTTATTGCTTCTATGGGTTTTTGTGGGAGTTTGCCCGGTTGCGACTGAAAGCTCGCTTCTGGTTGTTTGACATATTACACTCTGTTTCCTTATGGTTGGGACTGATGAGTATATACCCTAACCACTATGTTTATGTTGTCATATATTACATTATATTACTTTTTTTTTTTTTGGCGTTGTTGATCTTCAACCTCCTAATGCTGAGGATGAGTTATGGAACCTTGTCTGTCTAGTTGAGGTTGTGAATGTACATAGCTAATTCTGTTTATATTTTACTATAGATTTCATCACTCGGAACAAATTGCACTTGTGCACATCCTTTTTTCCACCTGTATCAAATTAATTTCCTACTTCAAGTGCAAAGAGCATACTCCAGAAGTACTCTATGTTCCAGATGTAGTGTTGTACTCCACATGTATGCTTCTTTTTTATCTCCGAGCACACCCATTTATTCTGGGTGGACGCTTTCTGCTTGGTTTCTGTGTTGTGTGCCTGCACTGTCCTTTTCACCTTTGCAGTGTGGGATTCTATCTTTGTGTGAGGAGGAGGTAAGACCGTATCAGAAGTCAACATTTTTCTTACACTGGAAATGTATTTCTGATAAGTACTTGCCTACTCTCACACACTTCTCATCCTTTCTCACCACTGTTGGTGTTCTTCCTTTGGAGCCTGCCAATTCTTAAAATTGAAGATTGAGTGGGAATAGCAGATGGAGCTATCTGTGCCAATATAAGTGGTGCAATACTAATGGTGGAGAGTAGTCACATGATATGTACATGTTCAGAAATGGCACGAAAATGATGGGGTATATAGACTGGTTTGATTATTGCAAAATGTTTTAGCAATGCTTAGAGGGTGAAAAAATCAAGATAGCTTTGTGTAAGGAGGTAAGTACCTATTGGAAGTACACTTCCAGTGTAAGAAAATGTTAACTTTCTTGTGACAAGATTTTGCAACTTATTGCCATTGGGTGTTGCAGAAAGATGACCAAACAGCTCTTCTGACCAATTCTTGGTGTGAAATGCTTCTCCTTAGTTGCTGCTATAGGTCCATTCCAACCCCTAGAGAAGTGCGAATTTCAACAGGAAAGTCCATGACTTCAGAACAGGCCCAAGAAGTTGGATTAGGCCCAGTGGTTGAGAGGATGCTGAACTTAACAGAACATTTACGCAGGCTATGTGTAGATCAGTATGAGTATGTTTGTCTGAAAGTCATCATTTTGCTAACATCAGGTATGTCTAGTGTCAAAGGTGCCATTTGCAATATTTTCATGGTAAATGCTCTGAGGACATCAAATTATAACATTATAATATATGTTTTATTTTTCTAAAATATGGATGATGATAATTATAGGCATCAAAAGCAAAGCTGACTAATCCCAACTAAACAATTCAGAAATTTTAGGATCACTTTCAAACTTTGATTGGATTAAATATAAAATTGCTCTGATCAGTTTTTCAACTTGATTTCCCTATTATCATTCATAACGTAGTATTTAATATTTTTTTCAATTTTTTTTTAAGTGGATAGATTTCATACTGTTGTCTGACATTTTTTTCTTGTAAGTAATCAAGGTCACTAGATAAGATAACTAACTTATGTTATTTATTTTTCACTTATAGCTTCATCAGGGGCATCTAGTTGTAGCATAAATCTTAAAATAAAACAACAAAGAACATTAAAATTAGAATGCTGTTATGCATAGGGTTGAGTATAACACATCAAAATGATTTTGAGTATGCAAATTGGCAAGTCACATGACAACTAAAACCAGTATAAAGTCACATGCTGGTTGGATTATGAAAAGCATGCAGTGAGGAAAGTTGAGCTTTGGTCATGATAGGCTTCTTACAATCAAGCATTTTGTAATGGAAACTATGCTACGGTCAATTATAAGGATGCAGCGTTATCAGATGGGACATTACTAGATTTGATGAAGTGGACTGGTATGATATGGTGAGACTCCATAATTGTGTTAATGTAACATATTCAGACTGTAGTGTACGTGGATAGTAATATTGCGTAGAGCTGAAGAATGGTATCGAACTGTAGTGCTGTGCACAGGGGGATGGCTGGTTGGGCTCAAGCCCCTGCTTTCTTCCTCTTATGCCCCCAAAATGCCCTTTTTTTGTCTGTCATAAAAGTTGTTTCCAACTATGAAGAGATACACCTGATTCCACTTCTTGCTTGCTGCAAGTTATTGGGAAAGACAAAATATTTCAGCTGTAGAATAAATGAAAACTGGGACTTGTAGGGTTTTACAATAATAAAAATAATTGAAATATGCTATTAAGTGTTAATATTCAAAAATCTACTGCTTAGGTCTAGATGATGATAAAAGTTTATAAGATCAATTGAACAGGAACAAAAGAGGATCCATTTACCTCTTATGGATTTTTACCTTGTGTATATGAGAGGTAACTCTCAGTCACCTCTAACCACCTCCCCAAAAAAAAAGGCTTGCCTTACGATACTTGAAAAAGAGCCTTTTTTTTTTTGTAAATGAGCCTCTGTCTTTTTACATTACTGCCAAACTGCTCTTACTACTACATTATACAAGAAAATGTTGATTAAAAGAGGCATATAGTTTTGTATAAAAATTTAAATTATTAGAACTATAAATATATCACAATAATGTTTTAGGTTTTGAAGAAAATATTAATTAAAAAAGGGAATTAGGGTGTTCTAAAAGATAATGTAAATAGAACTAAACCACAATAACATAATATTATTGAATTATTGAAGAAAATGTTGAATTAAAAACGAAGAAAAAAAAGATTTTGGAAGTTAAAAGTAATTTAAATATGACCAAATTGCAATAATGTTTAATAGCATTGTAATTTATTGTCTGATTGTACTGGTAACAAAATACAAATGTCTCAAATTTTTTGCTGTAATTCTCTTATGGTATACTATTATCTTACTACTGCCACATTCTGCAAGTCATCAGATGTTCCTGGTAAAATTGAGAGATGAAATGCTGGAAAAAAAAAGTTAGTGTCTAGAACAATTGATTTTTTATGAGGTGATTTGTTGTTGAACCTTATTGTGGTTTTTACCATGACTCTGACAAAAAAAACAGTAGACAGGGGTTGGGGGGAAAAATAAGCTTTTTTAATAAGGGGAAACAAGATTTCACAAATATTTGCCTGTAGGTGACTAAAAAAAGAAAGTTTTCTAAATGTTATAGTGTCCTATATTTCTGCTTAGTCTTAATTTATACTTATTTAAATTAGATGTCAGTGGGCTGAAGGATATAGAGAAAGTTCGAGCCTGTCAGAAGCAAGTTCTAGAAGCTTTGCAAACTTACACCCATACACACTATCCAGAAAATATCAGCAAATTTGGAGAGCTCTTACTCCTAATTCCAGAACTGGAACGAGCTTGTCAGGTTGGTAAAGAGTCTTTGTCTGGCAAACAGAGAGGAGGAGGAGAGATTCCAAGTTTTCATCTTTTGATGGCACTTCTTCGAGGTGACCACTGATCACTTTTGACAAGATTGAAGACCTTTATTGCTACATATCTGTGATTATAGTGAAGCAGCTTCTGAGTTCACTACTCTAGACTAGAGTGACTTGTAAATGTAAGTTATCTGGAAGAACTGTTGAAAACTTTCATGTTGTGCCATATGGTGATGCCAGCCACTGAGATAAACATGTGCTCAGATCTGACAGACTTTTAGAAAATAGTTCTGCCCAAAGTAATGTCTGATGTTTAGCTGTAGGTTTGAAACTGTTAATTATAACATCTTACAAACGTCAGGATTGATAATTCATATAGAAACTGCCTCATTTTGTATCACGTCACCTAAGCCCTACTCTTAGATAACTGCTACAGCTTATTTCCTAAGACTTGTATTATGTAAAACAAAAGTGAACTTTATTCTGTAATAGAACAAAAAAAAACAACAAAAAAACAATATTATAAAATATTTGTGCTTATTTTTAGTAGTCCTTCTAAGCAACTTAACCCTGGCAAGTCGCATGATTAAGAGTTCTCTTGTCATGCCTTTGATCTTTTATCATGACCTAAAAGCATGATTTATGACATTGTAAAGGTTTTTACCCTAAGGTGGTGTATCTGACAGAAAACAGAATGTGCTGCATCAGTCTATTTTTAAGTACAGTAAGCACAGTTTCAATGTCGTGATATTTCTAACAGATCACTTCTTCATGTCTATAAATATCTTAATGAAAGTTTCCAAACAGTTAAGGATAGCATTTTCATAGAAATAGAATTAGGTTTATGAACAATTTCATTATTGTAATTATTTATCAAACAATGTTCAAATATGGAAGGGTAACCAGCAAGGATACTATTTAACATTAAAGCTTGTAAAAAAAAAATTGGTTTCAGTTATATTGGAACTCATTAATATTTCACTTAATAAAAAGTGTTTGAATTCTCTTTATCTTAAATTTTCTCTTTTTATCAAACCATCAAGTTAAAATAATGCTCATTTAAAAGAATATATTAAAATTTCTGTTTGTTGTGAATGTAATCATTTACATATCCTTTGTTATATAAAGCACAAGCTGTAACTTTTGTTTTTGTCATTGCTGACTTGTTTGGGCCTCATTAAAGAATTCTGTAAAATACAAATCTTAAAGTTGGGTAACATTATCATAATTTTGAATCTCAGTGACTGTAAAACAATCTCGTTTTAATAATTCATTTGTGACGATGTATATGTAAGCCTGTTCATTTCAGCTATAGATTGATTTATAAATGCAATTATATTCACTTTTTTTATTCAATTAAAACCAAGATGATTAAAATTTGCTGAATAATTTTATAATTCTTCACAAGAATAGTTATAAAAGAAACCATATGTGAAAATATTACTCTTTCCTTTAAGTACAACAGATTTGCAAAGCTGTGAGTATATCTCCAGGTAAGCCAACTTGTGTATAATGGACATTTTAAGACAGTATGGTGTAAGATCAAAAGTTATCTGAAACATACATTTTAATTAAACAACAAAGTTTTGAACTACATTTTATAATTGAAGAAAACATAAGTAGTATTATGTTCTTCAAATTGTGGCTAGCTTTGTATAATCCTCTGACTTGTATAGGTATTATTTAAAGAAAAATATTTATTTCTTCGTTTTTTTTTTAATGAATAGTAAATATTATACTTGCAGCAAATCCTATTTAATGTAAAAATGTCAAGGTGATGTGAAATGTGTTCTTTCTGTCTGTGTTGCTGCTTTGTTTGATGAGTATTTTAAGTATTTTTTCTTAAAACTTTTTGCCACCCATAAATCTTTTGTTTCTTTCACTAATTACTGATTACATTCTGGATGCCTATCTATTTTCTTACACTCAATATATGAAAAATATTTAATAATCATAATAATTTTCTTAAATTGTTTCATTCCACTCCATTGATATCTTGCTATGGCTGATACCTAAAATAAGTGATGACATAAATTTGTCTTTATTATTAATCTTTGAAGAATGAAGCTGCACTTCAAATGTTTCTGCTTTTTAAACAATACTCTTCACACCTCACCAAGAGAAAGTTTAGTCTGCATGTGCTCTATTCTGGTGCTTTTCTTGAATGCTTAACATCCTTTATAATTAGCAGATAAAGCCTTGAACCTTCATTTTTTCAGAGGTTTAATTGTGACTTTGTGTTATTTTCTCCCAACTAGGGATTTTTTCTAAAATAATTAAGTTCCTTTATTGACCAAAAGAAACTGACTAAAGATAGATGGTCTAGTCAGATGAGTATAAGGCATTGTATTTAATCTTGCATGTGTGACCCTAAATTCCCATGCTAGAATATTTCCATGTTATTTAGACATGCAGACTGTGGTACCTATGCATCATGTTATTTCAACAATGACTATAGTTCTGCCATGATTTTGATGAGTTGTTAATTTGTTAATAGTAGTGAACTTTCAGTACTTGAATATGTTTGTTTTGAATTTTGCACAAAGCTACTTGAGGGCTGTCTATGCTAGCCATCCCTAATTTAACAGTGGATAGACTAGAGGGAAGGCAGCTAGTCAATACCACCCACTGCCGACTCTTGGGCTACTCTTTTACCAATGAATAGTGGGATTGACCATTACATTATAATGCCCCCATGGCTGAAAGGGTGAGGTTGTTTGGTGTGAATGCATTTTTCAACTTATTATTTTGTTATATTTCAAATGGGTTTAAAGGTTGAGAAATATGGAATTGATTAAACCTCTGCTAAATAGATTTAATAAGTGGATGTGTGCACCATGATTAATATGTTGATTTATAAGAAGAAATAAAAAATGTGTTAAGAAAAACCATTCAGTTTCATGGAAAAGTTTCAGAGGCAATATTATGCATTTCTGAACTTGTATTGTACCAAACCATGTGCATAATCTTTTCATAACAATGACATGTGGAACTGTATGTAGAAATATGGAAGAAGTCTGATATTTAAATGTACTGTAAATATTATCAATCAAATGGGAAAGCCAGGTGGACAAAAAAGAATTTGAAAAAACTAAATTATTATGTTTTAATGAATAAAAACATTAGCAGACTGATGTCATTGCAGATTTATATATTTAGTAAGTAAATTGAAGATGTTTTTCTATTAACCAAAATCAACCAATGGTTGCCTTCAAGTTATCTAAATGCTAACAAAAGAACAAAAACCCCATAAACAAAATGATATATATATAGTCTACCAGAAACAAATTATAAAGATATCTTATGTAAATAGGCTACAAAAGTTCACATGTAAGATTGTGAATATCATTAAAAATGAATTTTTACATTTAAAAAATGAAAACAGCTTAACACTCCAAGTTCACTAGATTTCTGCATATTTACAATGACTACTCATACATTTTCCTCATACATTTTTCAGCAACTGAGATATACTGAAAGGATTAAGCTGTCGTGTACTTTTATGACTGATTTTTGTGTGCAGAAAACAAGAATCACTTTTTTACTTGTATTAACATTAGATGCTAGTTCAAGAGGCACTAAATATAATCTTTCTTTGTCGGGTTGGAGCATTTGTTTCAATAAACAGAAGAACACATCATGGATAAATTCCTTTAATTTGACTCCTTGGTGTTGAGGGACTTTATATTTTGTGTGTGTGTATATATATATATATGTGTGTGTGTGTGTGTGTGTCAGTCAGCTAAAGACTGTTTTAACAGTACTAATGGATGGGATGTTTGCTTTTATGCTGATCAAAGGAAATTCTCTCTCTGACATTCTTCATAGAGTTCATGTTAAATATCAGTTTTGTTGAAACTTTTGAGAAATGTCATGATTGCTGTCATATAAAGCTTCGTATTTCATCTTTAGTTTAGAACTTCTCATGATATTTGAAGTATATCACTTGTTCAGAACAAAAGCTATGTGGTGGTCATTTATTATTTTATTTTGGTTTGCTGTTGAGAAATTTTCAAGTAAAATGCTTCTAACAATTAAATGATTCAATGTAAACCAGGTTAATAAAAGTTTTTTAAGCATTAACATTTTAATTTGGCAGTTAATGCTGTTCAAGTTATGTTTGAAATAACTGCATGGCATACAGCCATATGCTAATAGCAAATATAGGACGATTATCTGAAAGCATCATGTTTTATAGGAACTGGTTTCAAACAAATTTCCTGTATTAACTTTTTTTACAAAATAATGTGGTTTTGTCAAATGAGATGACCATAGAGTAAAACTGGTTAGAATTTAAAATTCTCCTTTGCAGTAGATTTTTAAATATTAGGTTATAAGATTTTAATTTGTTAGTTAGGAGTTTGTAAGATATCTTTTGTACTATTCTCTCTTTGTTTTTTACACCACTAATCAAAGAATGAGTTTAAGCTAAGAGTGATGACTTCCTGTTTCTCACTTTTTAGATCTGTCTGCCATTTTTTTTATATACTTAAATTTAAATGTCTTGGAATATTGAAAGGTTCTTAATCTATATTATATATTAATTGATATGTAAAGAAATATGCTAACACTGTCAACTAGCACCAAAATGTTTTTAAAATAGTGTCCACAATTTAAGTAGTACTTTCCAATGTAAAAATGTTTTTATTAGATTTACAATAGTTTTTATTAAGTGATTTTGAAAACCAAATCTTTCCCGTTACAAGTAGTATTATCATGTTACAATGCAAATTACATTTAATGTACAAATGTAGCTGTAAAATTTATGAGTGTGTTGTAGAAAAATGTACAATCTATGTTGAAGTAATGCCAGCCACCTTTGGAAAAAACAAGAATACTGGAGAGTATATTGCCTAGAAATTATGGTGATGAATATTTAGTATTTTGTCAAAGAATGAATGAATATTATAATAATTGTCTTTTTTTTTAAACAAATTGTATATAATACTGACAGACACTGTTAGCCTTATGAAACTTCAGGCCAAAAACAATTAGGAAGGAAGGTGTGTATTGGTCTCAAGAAGTGATCTATTCATTTTCATAATGTTGTGTCACAGAATAAACTAGGATTTGTTTTTTACTTTTATGTAAGAAAAGATGGCATTAATACTGCAGTGCAATATGATATATTCCTATCCTGTCATTTTACTTTTACAAGTTGAACAATGTATTGTTTCTTTCTTGGTATTTCAGTATACTTTTATATATGAGTTTAATATCCCATAAATGGTACTTAAAATATGTTTAGGGTATTGCAACCTTTGGGTATACTATCACGTGCTATTACAACTATAAAGCATGACAATTGTGAACTTAGGATGGGTCATTTCAAGTAATAAATTACATTTTTGTACAGATATTTGTAGTTTTTGAATTAAAATTTCAATTAAGAGAAGGCATTACTTTGATGGAACATTTAATGAAATTTGTTGTTTTTCTTAACTATATTTTACATGCTTCAGATATGAAGAAACTCTGAATAGTTAAACAGGTGTGAGTTTATCTATTTGTATTTAGATAATCTCCTATCACAGAAAAAATCAAGCTGTAGATGTTAGTTATAGCCCAATCCTAATTTTACGTTTTTATACAGTATTTTTCTGCGTATATACTGAATTTTAATCATGGATTAGATTCCAAAGTTTTCTTAATTTCTTACACCTTCATTATTAAAGACTGGAATAAATTTAGGAACCTTGTTCAATGTTAATCACCGCAAACCAAATGTCATATAAGTATGACCTTAATTTCTTGTAACTAACTTCTCTCCATTTGTTTTTTTACTAAAAGATTTTATTGAAACTAAATTAATGTGATTCTTGTTGCTGGCAACAGTCACGTATATTCAATTGTTGTATCAAAATGTCAGTTTCATGATGAAAAAGGATAGTATTTGTTACCTACAGCTGTCATCATCTCTTGTTCCATTCCTGACACTAAAGAAACTATGATCTTTGTTTGTATCTGTTACTGCCATTTTTTTCTTTGGGAAGATTTCACAAACACTAAGGCAATGGTAATCTTTGTTTGCAGCTCTTATTACTTTTCCCTTTAGGGGGATGTCATTGATACTAAAGAAATGATGGGTTTGTTTGCTATTATCCATTTTCTATAAGCAGATTGTCATTTTACTGAGGTTCTTGTTTGAATCAGTTATTACTATTCATTCATTGAGCAGGGAAGTTATTCAAATTTAAAAATATTGTAAACAATTTGTTATATTTTAATAATGTACATTTCTTTAGTTTTACATGTTATTACATGTGTAACTTTTGTGATAGTATAGTATTAACAAGTTATACTTCTAAAGAAGCCTAATAAATGTTTATATTCTATCACTCAGTTCCAAATATTATAAACCTAATGTTATATTAAAGAACAAAGATCTGAAAATAGTAGTGGATTACAGCTTTCATTTTTGAGAAACTTGTCCATTCAAAAGCGTGTATACATGAAGATCTATGCTGATGATCCAAAATGTACCTTCAACAGATGAACGAAGCTTGTTCAGTTGTCCTAAGAAATATATGAAAATACAAAGCAAGTTACTTGGAATGTTAATTTTTCACTCTGTCATGACATTATTTTTCAAATTGTCCATCATTTTAGTATGTTTTCATTTGTTAAAACTTCAATGAAATTCAACTTAATGGTAATCTATACTTAACAAGCATTAGTGGAAAATTATGTAACATACAGTTCGCATAGTTCGATAATGCTGAAAACTGAATACAAACCTTAATGTTTACTGTTTTAAGAGATGTAAATCATATTAATTCCAATGATTCAACAGTATTTTTAAGATGAGTTAAACAATTTTACATCATGATAAAAAAGAGATGCAAGTGTAATTGGAAATGGAGAAAGTATAGATCAAAACAAGTACTCATTTGGTGAATAGTTATAATCTTTGTTTAAAACTATGTGATATCTAACTACCAGCAACATAGTTGTGTGCCTAGTTTATAAGTGGTCTAACAACACACACTCCTTAAACTTTCCTAAAGAATTTATGTTTTAATAATTCAAAAATCTGAATTACAAAACATGTTTCAATGTTATGTTGTATAGAAAGTTGTACATTACCATATCATCTAGAATGCAGATATAGTTTTTTCATTTGTCCCATACATTTAGTTTATGTTACATTTTATAGTATTTGTATACAGGGGCTTTAAAACATTTTAATAAAAAAAATTGCTTTTTGTGGATTCTTAGTAATGTTTTCCTTTATTTCTATCAAAAATATGCATTAAATAAAAATACAGATTACATTAAATGAACTATATGATCTTGACATATTTAGTATAAGAGTACTAATTCTTCTTACCATGAAAATAATTTGTGGAGTTAAAAGAACTTCAGTGAAATTTGAGAATTTAAGATTTATATGGCATTAACACATAGCCTTATGCTTCAAACAAGGAAATACTTTTATTACCATAAATAAGAAAAGTTTGTTACCTTGTTCAGTAAGAAAACAATAGCAAACATCTTGTACAATACACACACTGCAGGATGTTATGTTGTATTGAAAAGTTTACATCACAATATCACCTAAAATGTAGAACATAGTTTTCTACTAAAAGGGGAGAGGGTGAATAGAAATATAACACAGACTAAATGAGTGGTACAAAGATTAACTGCAGCTTAATGCTGTGAAACAGTAAACGAGAAATATGTGGTAACTTGAAGAATACAAAATGTCCTTAGAAAGTAGGTAGTGCTTTGGTATGATTAGATCAAAGCAAATGTTTCTTAAATACAAATATCAGTCATAAGACAATACTACTTAAAACGATTTGCATAAATGATATGACACAATTGTTCACAGTACAAGTTTGTTATAAACCATTCGTAGTAATAAGTTTAATTTAGAACGCGTAAAAAATCTATAAATTTGAATTAGGAAATACTACCCTTACAGTATATATATATTAAAAGAATTGCAACTTAATATATTCACTATTTTATTAATGAATGAGATCATTAAACAAGGTTAAAATATTGACAGTCACCTTAATGACTCCTTTTGCAATTTCAAAAAATCGGCCAAAAATAAGTAATTATTGGCGTTTTTATATATATAGGTCCCTGAGGCCTATTTGATATAAAATTACTTTCAACAACTTTATACAACGCTTAAAGATTTAATGCCTTCATAACTACTAATACTATATAATAAACAGTTTTAACAATTTTTACGAATGAAAAAATATGATACTTCTCATTTTTTTCCTGTGTAATAGACTTAAAATTATACCGTTTCTATAATAAAAAACTGAAATAAGCGAAAATAAATCATCCAGAAAATAACAGGCATTAATTATTGCAAAATTAGCAACAAATTCGAAGGAAGTGCATTTATAAGTAAAAGGTGGGTAATTTTTACACAAACTCTTGTCGAGGAAAGTGATTTTACGTATGCTAAACAAGGTTGTTTATTTCACTAGAAACGAATTTGAAATGATGGTTAGAGCCTCTACTAGTTTTGTTCAATAAGCCATATATCAGTTAGCATAGTATTTAAGAAATGTATGGCTATTCCAGACTAATCTTACCTGTACGGCCCCCAGTGGCACATCGGTATGTCTGCGAACTTACAACGCTAGAATCTGGGTTTCGATACTCGTGGTGGGCAGAGCACAGCTAGCCCATTTTGTAGCTTTGTGCTTAATTAAAAACAAAGGCTCATAAACTAGTCACTAAACGAAGTAGTTATGAGCCTTAAAAAGTTATGAGAGTAGTCCATGGATGAAATATCAGATTAATTTACAGATATATCTTGTGCAATATTGCTTAATTAAATCAATTCGAAAAAGAATTGGAATATATACTTGTATATATGCGCTTGGTTTTTAAGAAAGCAATGAAGACCTGTTTGACATTATTAATATGCAAATAATACCATTTCCTCTAGAAATTAGTTCAGCACATTGTCATACTTGTAGTTGATCTTGAAATTTGAAGCAACTCCACTTCATATGTAGCTCAACAAAATATCTTGGTTATTCCTGTTTGTTTGTTCACGAGCAATATATCGTGGCGTCCAGCTCCAGAATAATCGAAAATATAGTCGGTAATCTCCAGATCACCTGTCCCTCAACCTATTAAAATCCCCCGAATTGAAGCTGAATCCCCGAAGCTAGTTGGATGTGACTTAGCTTTGACACAAGGAGCTATCTCTGTTTTGCCCATCGCGGGTATCGAAAACTGGTTTTTAACGTTATAAGCCCTCAGAGTTACCGTTGAGCTACCGTGTGTGTGTATGTATATGTTTATTCCTCTACTGATCATGGATCATTTTCAAAATCCTTCATTAGAGGAATGAATTCACTGTCTTATTACCTGGAAAGAAGTTGTTGTGTTCAGGTAAACCGGTTTGCAAAAAAGGTGCAAAACAACTATTTTTATTTTTTGTGTCATTGGTGAACCTCTTGTTAAATCCATCGTTTTCTTGTCTAAGGTATCGGGTCGTTTAGTTGACTAATATCTTTGTAACTCCAAATCTTGTATACCCAATTTGAGACCGACCAATGTATATACTTTGGTGGAGTTTGTTTGTGATCCTGTTTCCTGTTGTTTATACAATCTTAAGGGGTCTGTTTTGTCTATCACCGGGTGTGTTCCATAACACTCTAGAGCAGTTCAAGTGGATCCAGGTCGGAGTTTTTGGACTGGCCAAGGCATGTTCTAAGTATTATTTAAATAAAACCACTGTTAAGCATGCCTTGCAATATGATACGTTGCAATATCATGTTGAAAAAAGAATCGTTTTCTTCACAAAATTCCACAAATGGAGTCATTGAATCAGTGCCCAAAAATGTTACAGTGCGACAAGACTTTCATGGCTCCTCCTAACTAACAACAGTGGAGCAAGTTTAACCAACTGAAGTAGGTCCACACCATAGAACTATCCCCATCATTCTTCATGGTTAGACAAACAGCAATATCTTATGTAAAAAAAAATAGAGTAGAAGGATTGATTCATTGGTTAAAATCAGTTTTTCAATGCGTAAGCCACAGTAAAAGCTTTAATATGTATCGAACAGCCTTTTATGAAAGTGGAGTACACGGAGTGTTTTGTTCACAATGGATATATTAACCTGAAGTCTTAAATTCTCACCATATATACAGGTAGGTGATGAATTAGGTATTTCCTTTCATAAAATGCTTCAAAGTTTGTACGGACAGAGAAGTGGATAATTTTGGGTGGCTAACCAAACATTCCATATTAGCACATCCAATGACCTTCCATTTCTTAAACGCATAATTAACAGTGAATATGGATATGTCTAAACAGCAAGATACGTCGTCTTGATTTGAAAATCGTTCCTTTTCGAGGGTTAGTGAATTTTCTTCGTAGCATCTTGTCTCTAATTCACTGTTTTTGGTTGATGTTAACTTTTTATAAACCAATGCATTAGTACATGCAAGTTGGATTAAGAAAATCTCATTACTTGTATGTTTAGTGTGTGTACATAAAGCTAAACAATGAAGTACCTGCACTCTACCACGGATTTTAACATTGTAAACCCGTAAACTTACCGTTGACCCAACGGGAAATACGTTTAGTAACTGAGTACAGGCTATTTTTAATGTTAAATATGGTCTCATTGCTTTTGAATAGTTGCTTTCCCACTGATCTATCAGCTCAAAATTTGATATGCTATGCACAGGCAACCCTCTGTGTAGCTGGAAAATGTAAAACTATTAATAAAATGATGGCTTCACAGAAGGTATACTTCCAAATCCATTAATACTTTTGACGACACCAAGGTAACAGGCCCAATAATATCATTGGTATTATGGTAAAACTTAGTACCCTCACGAGGTCCTCATTGATAGTGGACTAATAACAGTTCTAACATTCGCCTTTACAAACGACGTTAATGTTTTAGGCCAAAAATTGATTTATCATCATAAAACTTCCCTTGGGAGAATCGAAATAATTAGTATAATTAATACTAGCTCGTCGGGTATAGAAGGTAAGAAGTATTCGTAATAAGTTAATAATATCATAAACCCTGATTTTTCTATTTCTGAAGAACAGTTGTGTGTGTGAGAGAGTTCTAAGATTAAACTCAAAAACTAAAGAATGTTCCCTGTAAAGATTTCATCACAGCTTACTTGTAAGATGCTTAAGATATCACGTTGTGTACCTCCAATATGAATTTAGCTAGAAAGAGTGTATAGTAGTAATTTTTAAAGTGAAATTATTACAAATTGCATTGTAATAACAGAGTAGAGAAGAATAATTCGTCTTTTCAATTGTGTCATAAAGTAACTGAATCAGTCTGTGTGGACTTTGACGTAAAGAGACGATTATTCAAAGCTCTGGATACAACTTTTGTAATTAACTGTGTAACGAACACTTGTATATATGTTTGGCCTGTTTTAATTTATTATTTTAAAACACATGGACTGCGTGCTGTTTGTTTACTGTTGAAATTTGTTGCCAACAAGTCTCAAAGACCTAATGTAAAGAATCTGGCTCATACGTAAAAACCTGACACAAACTGTTAACAAGCTTTTATATGCACTCAGATTAGTAGTGGTTATGAAGTTTACAAACTTTTTTGAGTAGTTATATCTTGTGCAACAGTACTTCAATCAGTTTGCAAAACAATTAGGAGACAACATTTTACCACATTGCAATGTGTCAAACAACTATATGTGCTATACTGAGTGCCGACAAGGCCTTTAGTGGAATAAATTCCATGTTCAACTACTCAGCTCACAGAATCCTCCTACTAAATGTATAACAGGTCTGTTTTGACTAAGCATCAATTGAATAAGATGGTGATCCATGAAGCAGCTATAAGCATCTCTGCAATGGGAGGTATACTGCCATGGTGACCATGGTCACAGATAGACCTATAATTATGTAGAGCTGATGAATAAGCTATCCCAGGAACTCATTGTTCTACTACCTAGGCAAGGACTTAATGCTCATGGCGAGGGTAAGGACCCCAGATTATGCCCATCACTCCATACAATGTCTCAGCCTCATGTTGGTTGAGAATTTGTGGCAGAAAGGTTAATGCCAAAACCAAAGATATCTGTGAGTGAGGTTGACGAAACTGACATTTAAGGGTTTGCTTAAGAGGATCTGGACTGTTTCCTGAAGTATTTAATATATGTTACTGCATGTAATGGCTTGACTTAGGAACAAGCAGTGCATTTGTTTCTATACAGCACTTCAGCAAGG